ATCCTGTTCCTATTGAGCTGGCAGGTTTTGTCTAATCTGCATATAGAATAACTCTTTTCATTCATTATTGAAGTGCCATGTGCATCCTACGGTGATTTTCTGTGCTGCTGGGTCTTTGGTGGTGAATGTCATTCGTGTTCGTGCTGCTTTTTCTGTCTTTGGGTGGCAGCCAGTGCTTTTGGTGTTTGTATTTGTTGGTGCTCAGAGGTGCTGTTGCAGTGGGCGCTGTGCGTGTCAGTGCTGGCCACGGTGTGTGTTTGATGGTGCCCTGGGGCTCTGTGGAGCTGGGCAGCCCTGTCCCCTTGATGCAGCTTTGTCACTGCCAGCCAGGTCCCATGATAAAGCTCACAGGTCCTTACRTGCCGGGAAGCAAAGGTGCTTGTGCTACATAGCATTTCATAGCATTGTGCTACATAGCGTTTCTTATTTTGAAGAGAAAGGTCCATGCTCCAGGGAAGGAAAAAAAAGTAGGGAGAGAGAGGAAAAAGAAAAAAAGCTCTTAGGCTTTGTATAAGGATACTATTTTTGTCTATTTACTGTCAAATGCAGGATAAGGATCTCGGAAAGGACACGGGAGGCAGGTGGGTGTAACAAGCTGGTAGCAAGGATGGATGGAATAATAARGAGGCAAGGGGAAAATCTAAAAGGTAAATTCCCTCCTGAAGTTGGCGATGGGAAGACGTGTGAGTGTGCACGCACACACGTGTGCACACTTGTGACTAGCTCTTCACGGTGTGAAAATACTTGCAGTGTGGAATCCTAAGGAGGAGGCACGGGGATGGGAGCACTTCAGCAGTGTAGCGTTGCCTTCAAAATGCATCTCAGTCCAAAAAGTGAGTTAGAAATAGCTTCTCTTTCTGTCTATTTCTGTGTGTATTTTTCTGGCCTCCATTTATATAGGAAAGTTGTTAAAAATACAGGAAAATGGGCAAGTATACAGGGGGAATAAAAAGAAACTGAATATGTATAATTTTTTTTTCCTGTGTACAGAAGCAGTGTGAATAAAAGCAGATGAGTAATGGTCTTTCTTTGATCCCAGCTACATAGGAGTTGTGGATAACAGGAGAATGTGAACAGCTGTCAGGCAGTACTGTGATGAAACTTAATGTTGTCCTTTGAATTTTTTCTGGCTGAGATGTCTCTCAAGTAAATTGTGGTTTTTTTGGAACCCACTGGATGTGCTTTAGCTGAGCTTATGCTTAGCAAAATGTACTTAGTGCCTGAAAATGCAGCTCTTCAGGTATGCCTAATCACGCACCCAAGTCAGTGGTACCTTTGGGGAAGAAAATGAACTTCACCTTTTTCATTCTCATCCATCTTGATCTTGGTCATTAAAGTATAAAACTCACATTTCAGGTTTTTTTCTCTGATTTTTTTTTTTTTTTTTTGGCCTTGTGTTGGATATATGCCATGTCCTTAGAGAAAGATGGAAAGTGCTCAATTCCTGGACCTGTTGCAAATGAATTTGGTTGTTAGTGTATTCCAGTTCATTGCCCATCAATGCAAAAACARTATTACATTTTTATGTTCCAAATGTCTCATTTTGTTTGCAGTAAATTCCATCTCCTCTCAGTTTCATTTTAAACAGCTGTTTTCTAAATCCTTTCAAAACAGCAATTTTGTTTTATAGTGATGATCTTTGTCACTTAAGCTTTAACTAGAGGGTTGTAATTTCTTTCTCCTCTTTTGCTTCCCTCTTTCCTCCCTCTTACACCTCCAGTATTTTTCTAGGCCTTTGAGGCATTAATTGTGGTTATTATGTTTTACTTTCCTCGCATCCCTGCTTTCCCTTGCATTCTCTTGAAGGAGCTTTTCTGCCTTCTATCCCACAATAATTGGGCATTTAGGACTTGTATTCTTTTTTCCTCCTAAAATTCAAGTTGAATAGAGCTGTTTCTTCTTAAACAAATAAAAGTCAAAATAGTCTCTTGGTACTTTCTCCACATAGGCTTTCATATGGAACTCCAAAAAGCMGGCACATTCCAACTGTGCCTTAATTGAGCGAGCTTCAAATGGTGCCTCGGAGATGCTGGCGTTTGGAGCGAGCTTTGCCCAGATCTGGAGTCTGATGCAAGCTTGCTATATACAGCCATATGTGAATAAGTGATGAATCAGCAAAGGGTTTTGTCTCTGAACCAAGAAACATAATTTGTTGCTGAAAGCCCCCTTTTTTATTTTTTATTTTTTATTTTTTTACCCAAGTCTTAAAATAGGATGATTTTTTTTCTGGATATTTAGGCAGAGCAATTTTTCTTGTAAAATACTTTGGCAAGGGATATAATAGCTGAATTATGACCTGTGTGCAGCAGAAATTAAACACTTGTGGGGAGCTCTCTGCGACTTAGCTCTTGAACAGGGTATGTGATGCAGCAAATTATTAACTATTGATTTCTGTAATACTCTGCAGGCATCAGTGATTTAGCAGTATGCTGGTAAGTACCCCGAGAAAAGATTAATATCTTAGCAGAAACAGTAATTACGGGTATGTTTAAATAACGATCCTTGTGACAGCTACATATGCAGATATTGAACACAGCTTTGGCCTGTGGTTGAGTGTCCAAAAGCACCTSGAAGATGGTGTCACTCGGGTGTTCTGAAATCCAAGTTTTCAGTTTTTGGGGGTGTGTTAGCTGCTCCGAATGCCGGATGTTTGTCCTGTGGAATCAACCCCATGTCCCAGAGGAGAAGACTGTTATTTACATAGCTCACCCTCAGTTGCATCATTGGGAAGGTCCCAGGAAGATGCTCTGAGGCATCTCAGTTGAGCACAATTCAGCCTCTCTGCAAAAGCTGTTGCCTGCAAGGCATTTACGCCAAAGAGTTTCTTTGCAGTGGTTTAGCTGTCGTTAGTGCAAAGTGTTTACTCTCAGCATTCATTACCAAATTGCTTCTCCACAGAGCTTGACAATTGGAATTTGTCATTACTTTTTCTCCCAGAGTAAGTATTTTACAGCAATAGCTTCCTCCAGAAGAGGGGRAAAAAAAAAAAAGGGAAATGGATTTCTTGTCTTAATTTTGTGTGGAGAGAAAGATGGTCTTCATATGTTATCCCTAAACATTGTTTAGATTCCCACAGAAGGGCTGATTTTGACTTACTGCTTCTCTTAGCTCATGAGACAAAGCGAGTTCCCTTCTGCAGATGTTAGTCTTTAAATTTCATCAGGAGGGACAGCTACATCTGGGTCCCCGGGTCAGTGAAAATGAGCTCTAGCTGCAGCCTGTGCATTTATGCCTGGCATTACAGATGTTTATATAGCAGCAGAAGTGGAGCTGCTCGTCACACACCAACTGTCTCTGCCTTGATTGTATTGGCATGGGGTGAATAAGGAAAGAGTACTGGATTCTGGAAAAAAAGCCTTTAAGAACATGTAGCACTGACCTCAAAGTCCCCCGAGCCATGGTGTCCTTGAAGAACAGTAAATGCTTGAGCAAGAGAAGTTTGAGTAAGTGATGAAGCTGGGAGGAAGGATGCTGGCTGGTGTAGATGACCCTTCATTTGATAGGGGCAGGTACGTGTGAGCTGCTGCTGGGCCCTGTGCAGAGCACCCATGTGATCAAATAACGTGCAGTTTATTTCCTGCAGCTAACGCTTACTTGTTTTTATGGTTTTTTTTTGCCTCGATATGTCAAGGATATTTGTAGAACATGAGCTTTTATTGCGTTGTGCTTTGCTCTCTGCATGGCAGTAACATCACGCCCTTGCGAGGTGTGTACAGAGCAGAGCACGGACCGGTGCAAATCCACAGACAGCGACTCCTCTCCCGAAGGACAGAAACTCAAATGTTGGCTCTTGCAGGTGGCCTGACAGTGTCACTGAGCATGCTGCTGAGTGGTGTAACCATCCCATTGCTGATTTATGAGTGAAACAATCTAGCGTGCTACTGCAGGGCTGCTAGGTTATGTTTTTCCAAGATTTTTTAAAAAAGATTTAAAAACAAGAGGCTCCCCATTCGAACTTTCTGTTCTCTCTAGCTGTCACAAGCCGTGCCTGCTGCTGTCATATGCAGCTCATGACCACCTGACMAAGCTGCTTTAAAATCAAGCAACTTAACTGTTGCCGGAATGTTTAACCAGTCCTTCAGCTGGGTTTTATTACTGGCATCCAGTCCCGTATATGTAGTCACTTGTGCTGTAGAGGTACCTATGAGCAGGGAGAAAAATGGGGACAAAACCCTATTTTTCCGCTTCGTGGGCCACTATTCACACGCCAGCTGATGTTAGCACTAGCAGAGGCAGTAGCAGTAATGTAAAGTGTCCCTTGTGTGAATAACCATGTAATGATGGCCTTTTGGGTCCAGCAATCTTAGCCTGAACTGCTGATAATTTCCAGCAGTTACTTCTGGCGAGCACCTTTGCTGCTTTCTATGTCTCCGAGTTACATTCTCAGAATCAAAGCACAGAGCCAGCTCACCTTTCATAGTTACTTCAGTTCTRTGGGATCTCGTATGTAATGAAACCAAATAAATCTGGCAGTAGGTGGCTGTCTGTCCAGGGCAAGTTTACACCTCTTTGAGGATTGTCCTCTTAGGGACCACATTCTGTTTGTGTGTATACTGAAAAAATTGCTATTGTTGTTAATGATAAAATTGTGCATTTCAAATAAATGGCCAGTATTGAAGCTGATAAAGCCAATAATCACTCATATATACCTGATCAGAGGATTCAAAGATGTATGTGCTTCTAGGCTTTAATGTATCTGATTTATGTCCCTTTGAATTTGTAAAATACTATGGAAGCCCCACATCCATGTACATGGAAGCYGATGGTTTTCAGGGTGAGGAATAATCGGTGTTGTTGGAAAGTGATTGTCTTTGTTGCATTTGCATGGCTGTTTTTCCAGTGTTCCTGTGAAATAGCAGGGTGTCCCACATGCCATTGAAATAATAATACCGCTCTCTTATGGGGATCTCTTTTATAATTCAGGCCGAACACACATTTCATTCAGTTCATGAATGACTAATATTACCTGCTTTTCTTTTCTTTTGTTTCCTTTGCTGTAGCTGCTGGAGTCGCTGGAGTCTGAAACAGTGCAGCTAGAAGCCTTTCTGGAGTGGAAGCAGCTGGAGCAAATTTATTGGCAGTGGATGGTAATGAATCAAACTGTTTTTAAAGATTTTTGCTTTTTCTGATCTAGTAAATAACTGACCACTTCCAAAGGTCCCTTCCCACAAAGGTGCATGATGCAAAACATCTTTTCAATGGCATTTTGAGCAAAACTTCTACTTCTTTTTTTTTTTTTTTTTTCCTCCCCCCTTCCCTTCACTAAGACCTGGCAGCTAAGCTGAGGAGTTAGAAGGAAGAGTGGCAAAATTTCGTACAGTTAACACAAATGAAAATGCCTGATCTTCATTTCTTTAATGTTTTTTCAAACATAGCAAGTGCACATTTTGTTAAAATTAAATGGCGCTTCAGAAGAGGGACTTTAAGCTTTATTGCAGACTTGAGAACAACTGAATTTGCAAGCAGCTGATATTGAAAACAACTTCATTCTTTGCAGCCAAATAGTGTGTTGAGATTACATATTTCCCCTTGAACTGTGTTGAACGATCGTAAGGAATCAATAAACCTTCCTCTGTGCTTCTTACGATTTCTCAAGTGAGTGTAAATGGTAACATCCATCTCACTTCTGTGTACGAGTTTTGCCCATTTACAGTTGCTGAAAATAATTCTCCAAAACACTGCATTAGCCGTATGAATTTATAAATTTTGAAAATCAGGGAGCTGACCATTAATTGCCAGTATGCCCTGTAGGCCTACACTGAAAGCAGCACAAAGGAGTGTAAAGTTACCTTACCTATCTTGAAAAAATAATTCCAATCCACAGCCTTGCCTAAGATCATTGTTTTTTAACTTTATTTATCTACCATCTTATAATTCTTTGGAAAGCATATGTGCTAGAATAAGCCTGGCTTCAAAGTGGTGCAGACAAAATGTAGCTGCACGTGCAACGGKTTGTCTGGGTACCCACCAAAACCTTAGGCCCCGACACGTTGTACAATGCRAGGAGCATTGGGGACGTTGAAGGGAATCCTAGACTTAAATCTAGAATAAACATCTGGAAAAGAAAAAGCACGTTAGTGACCAGCCCATTAAGCCAGGGTTGCGTACAGTGGTGTTGTTGTTGAGCAGGCTGGGATTTTGCTGGTGGTGGCCACGTTCCTGTGTGTGGCACTGGGATGTGCTCAGAGGATGCACTAGCTTTGTCTTTCCATTGGAGCCATGCTTTGCTTGGCTGGTGTGATGAGTGGGATGCTTTTTGCCTGGTTATTCCCAGTTCTTCCGRATGCTGTTGGCAGCGTTGGTGACAYATCCGYGCTGCAGCTTCCTTCCTCTGGTTCTGGAATGTTTTTGTGCGGGTGGGAGGTTAGTAGTGGCTGTGCAGCCCGCCTCCGTGTTTGCTGAGTGTGGCTTACTCTGCATGTGCTGCTGCTGCTTGCTCTGCTTAACTTTCGCCTTCTCTTGGTTCTTTAATTACCAGACGTGGTGCTTGGACAGAACCGCAATCTACCTGGCCCAAATATAACATTTCTTACCTCTAAATCCATTATTATCATTTGATCTAATACAACTTTTCTGACTTAGGACCTGCTCATCTTTTTGGCTCAGATACTGCCTTCCTTTCCATCGTGGCAGAGTTGGTGTCTTTAATGTGGGATTATGCCATGAGCAATCWGCAGCAAGGAGATCTGAGTTAATGCCTTCATTCCCTCAATGTTTCCCTGGTGCATCCTTTTTATCAGGCAGTTTCTTTTACCTTATTCTGGAAAAGAAATGAATCCTATGGGAATATTGCAGGGAGAGAGAACAAGTTCCTTTTTGCCAGAAAGAAGCCTAAGGTGATTCTTCAGCAAATCTGCTGTGTGGGCATGGGTAGAGAACCTTCACTTCTATAAAATAAAAGTCTAGACATGAAAGTTGCTGATGTACATGAAGAATCCTAATGCAACAAGGGTTGGTCCGTGACAGGGAGCCAGGAGGAACTGGGAACCACATTCCAGCTCAGCTGCAGTCAGAGCAAGACGTGTGACAGCCACTGAAATGGGATTCCTGGGAGCAGTGAATCGTGAGGTGCTGCGTTTGCAGTGATGAGCACGAGGCTGGGTTTAAAGATTCACAGAGTGGGAAACTAGGCAAGTTAATGAAGGTGAAAACTGGGGAAATTAATGCATCTCACAAGCATGGCCTATCTTGGGATAGGAATAGGAAGGTTCACTAGATTAGCTTTCACAAATATAAGTGGGAAAAATTCTGTGAAGGAAACAGATTTAATACTAAATGAAAGAGATTACTTAATTAGGGTTTAAAATTGCTTTGCGGCAGAGTTGCTTATCTTTAGTAGGAAGGACGAGGAAGAGCACTTGAGCATGAGCAATTGGTCCTGCAAGAGCAGTTCAACAAAGTATTTGTTAGACAGTTGCTTAAAATTGCATTGAATAAAATGTTGCCTTGGATTATGGCTGTATGTGAGTGGCAGAGGCACAGGTTGGAGGCATGGTAGGTGTACTGCCACACTTCCTCCACAGAAATGTCACCTATCCTCTTAAAAAAGCAGTATGAGCCTTGCTGTTTTCTTATTTGAGTGTTTGAACTATGGCTTTAATAAGCGTATGTGTTATTTGGAACTGTATTTCGAAGAATGCTGCCTTTTTTTTTTTTTTCTCCTAACCTTTAAAATAACCTGTTCCATGGCCATCAGTTTACCAGCTCCCCTGCAGTTACTTTTTGGACAAGCGTTCCCTTTTCCTGTCCCCTGTGATTTATCTGTGCCTTGACAATCTATGTTTAAATCAAGTATCTGGCTCATGTGCTGTAGAAGTTTGATATTAGTATTAAAATTAGTATTAAAAGAGCATTAATAATTTTAAACAAAAAAATGTCACCCTTCTCTTCCCCTACCCCCCCCCCCCCCCAAAAGAAAAATAACTTACTGTTGATCACTGCATACACATTATAGCATTTTTTGATTTCTGCACAAATATTCACCTCACATATGGAGATAGAGTGGGATCTTCAGGAAAAACCCCCCCAAAAAAAAAAAAAAAAAAAATAAAAAAAAGGGGAAACAGGAGGATTTTCCCCACAAACCACTGATGCCTTCAGCATTTGTCAATGGCAGGTGTAAAAGACTTAATGCCAGACTGGGCTCCTTAATCTTGCTAGGAATCCACCAGCTAACGAGTTGGAATTGGTGAATCTTTCAGACTTCTTGCCTGGTTCAGCAGCTGAGCTTGGACGTGGCTGCAGGAAAACAGATTTTTGGTGATCCCTGCATCTTTGCTTCTTTTTCTCACCAAGTGCAGCAAGCTGTCAAGAGAATTTTCTTTCCTACTTTCTTAGTTCTGGCTTGTCAGATGATTTTAGCRTTATTATTTTTAAAAGCAACTTTTCAGATTTGATAAAGAAGACATTACAGCTAAATATAGACACTAGCTGGTTTTCTGAGATTTGCTATTAATGATATTTCCTTACCAACTTTCAAGTCTGAGATTGATTATTTTCAGTTATGTTATCAAAACACATTGAATGAAGTTTAAGGAAAGAAGGATTTTAATCCATTTTGAGAAACTTAGCGTTTTAATATTAAATGTTTTTTAAAGTCAAATGAGCACCAGGATTGGAGAACTTGAGAAATTCAGAGGTAAAATTGAAGGAGGAGGACGGGATTTTACTTTGTAGCCCGAATGTACTTACTGCTACATCCAGCTCTCTGAATCTTGTATCAAAAGAAGGAGGAGGTTACCCAGACCAGTGCTCTTGACAATACTGCTGCCTCCTCTCCTCCTCATCCTAGGAAGCGGACCGGTTTGCTTTTCAGCTAAYGAGCAGTAGTCATCCTCAGGAGGTCATAAATAATTTCAGCCACCAGGAAGGAATTCATGATCAGGCCCCATCAATAGGATTTTGTGAAAGCTTCAGTTACAGCTTAGTCCGCTTTCTTTTGGTGAAAACGGTCAGGAAAAGACAACTTCTAATGCACGTGGCGATGCCGCGCTTGTCTTTGTGGTAGGCTCCCGCCCCCCTTTCCTCCCATTTTTCCCCAATTTTTCTGCATTTTCTCCCTCTCCCCTTCCTGCTCAGCCTCCCTTTTTCCTTTGCACATGGCATATGCTACAGCAGCTGCAGAGAGGCAGCCTGCAAGAGGAGGATGGAGCAGACTCCGTGCCATCAGCAAGGGGCTTCATTACCGCCCCGCTCTCGCCGTGGGAGGCGTTCAGCTGCCGCCTTTGGTGACAGGCGGTGGCACAAGGCGCTGGCTTAAAAGGGCAAGTATAGTGCCTCTTAAATGTAACATTCAAAGGAAGACAAACCAATTGCCTTAGGCTGGCGTTTGACAGAGCTGCAGCGAGCGGAGCGGGCGCGGTAATTCTAATAAATTAACAAAATATTGCTTTAAGATTCATGCGCTTGCTGAATTTCAAATAAGCTCTGTTGCTTTCCGTGAACTAAGAAAGTTTTAGTTATGTAGTGAAAATATATTACTGTTTTCTTTATTCTCTTCTCCTTGTCCCCAGATGCAGCTGTGGCTCTTTTCTGTCCCCTCTGCCACGCAGGGCTGTCCTTTGCAGCGAGACAGGACGTACGTGGGAGGGAGTCTCTCGTGCGTGCCAGGCACTACTATTTCCACGTGGACGTTGCCCGTGCCCAGGACACGTCTGTGTCCTCATGGGCCGTTCCTGTGGTCAGCACCAAGCCACTCGTCTCAACGGTGACAGTTTTGTGACACTTTGCAGTGCTGACGTTGCCTGAGAAAGGAGATTTTATAGCGTGTCATTTGCCATTCAGCTCCCTTAAAAAGTTTTTTTTTCCCTCATAATCAGCCTCCAGCCCCCTTGCTGTGATTTAAGTCAGTTTTTACCCTACCTGCAGAGAAAAGAGAGAGACGGAGAAATTGATTCCCATCCTCTTTGAAGCCTCCTTTTACATCAGTGCAGGCTGTTAGCATGTCACTGAATCCACAGCCTGTGGTTTTTRGGCTAAACAAAAGTGGTGCTTTTAGTGTCCCCTTAGAGGTAGCTCATTCTTCAAACTTGTGATGAGTGTCGCTGCTCCCCAATGGGATCTTCTATCCAGTTTGTCTTGTACGTAACTGCTGCTGCCTCTGGTGCTTTTTTGAACAGTGTCACGTTGGTGACTTCTGCCTGATTTTCTTACATCTCTTCCAGCAGTATTGCTTGCTGAGCCAGTAATTAGGCAGCAGACACTTTGCTTCTCCAGTGTGTAGACCTTGCTGTAAAACTGCTGAATTTCTTACTACTTTCACATCATTTCCTCAGTTTATAAAGAAAATTTTGAATTCTGGCCATGTCCTTAGAAGAGATCTCTTATTTGATGTCTTCTGCGRATTTTCTTAATAAAATGGAAATATTTAATACTACGTGAGTGGGGAGGACTCAGTGCTTTAGTTGTGAAGCCAAGTTCCTGGCTTGGAAACAGTGTGTTTCTAAATATACTGTGCCCCACAGTGCAAGGATTGAGACCTCTGARCTTATTTTTTTTCCTGAGTATTTCAGGCAGCTGGTGCTATGTCAGGAAGCAACAGAATTACTTGCAGAACCAGTTACATGAGCCGRGTTTAAAAAGAGCTGACAGAGCTGCTGCCCAGCACTACTGGGACTATCCAGGAGTCTCATTTTGTGGAGTTTTGTAGGACACAAGCCATCTTGTGGGTGTTATAACCTCCAAATGGGATTTTCCTGAGCAGCGTAAGCACTTATCTCTGTGCTGGTCGTCGTTTTGTTATAAAAAGCCATAAAAGTGCATTCAGCCCCAGAAAGTGGGTGGAAGGAGCATATCTAGAGGCTCTGCAGACCATCTCTATGTCTCGTGAATGCCACTCATGCTTTAGTAAATCAATAGCGAGTAGCTTGCATATGCASTGTTAGCAATACATGGTTTCAATAGCTTAGAGGTACATTAGAGTTAACTGAAGAAATTTTCTGATTAAAGTAACTTCAAAAATGTGGAGTAGTCGTATCCTGAGGTGGCAGCAGTGCATTCCTAGGTATAAATTATATAGGTAATACATAGGTGTAAATTATATAGGTAATACATAGGTGTAAATTCATAGGTATAAATTGCTGGGGTAGAATAAGTGGGGAAAAAGGGGAAACCCATTTTTGCTCATGCTGAAAAGTTAGTAACCTTTATCATTTTTCCTTTAGGAAGCTGTGTTGGATGATATGTCTGAAGAGGGAAGTCTATGCAAGTCCCAGGACGCTCAGCCAAAGGAAAATCCGCTACCAAAGACAGGCTCCTGCAGCCACTGGGCTGGCAGCCTCGTGGGGAGAATTGACAGATTATCCACAGACCTAACGAGTGTCCGTGACCAGCTGCAGGAGCTTGTAACTCACCGCAAGGCTGTGTGGTATGAGAAGGTAAGGCTGGGGTGATCACAGGAGCCCTCGCAGATCCATCTTTCTCAGTCTTGTTAGATCAGGAAGCTTTTGCCCAGCAGTCCTCAAAGATCCAGTGTGGAGAAAGTATGTGGAGAACAGCCGACTACTCTCTCCCAAGGTAAAAATGAGGAGTGTGCTAGAACAGGTTTTCGGACAGGCAAAAGGAGCTGCTGCTTCACAAAGTACGCAGAACTTCTTCCCAGAGGACACTGTGAGTATAAATACTTTATAGGGGTTCAAAATGTTGGACAAATTCTTGGCAGAAATATCTATTAAGAGCTATTAAATAAATAGTTATGAATTATAAGCCAAGGGTGTTGCAGGGGTGCAAATCACTGCGGGTTTGGAGGGCTATTCCAAAGAAGCATCTCGGTGTATTTGTTTTTGTTCTGTGCTCTTCACTAGTCACTTGCAGTTGGCTGCTCTCAGCAAGGGGGTGCAGGTCTAGACAGGTCTCCTGCGTGGCCTGATTCAGCTGCTAGGACGGGAAAACTGGCATGAGCGTAGCAGAACAAATAATATTTTTATTTCTAAAAATAAATTTTCTGGTGGATGATTTCTAAAGCAAGACATACTCCGACTCTTTATATAAAGTGCTGTTAGATTTTATACCTAAAATTAAATAATAATACTGTAGCTGGTTATGTATAAATCAAAGTATTAAAATCCACAAAGAATAGCCGAGGAAATCTTCATGGTGCATTGAAATAGTTGCATCGTTTGGRTTTGAGCGATGGCTGGTCGAGTTCCAGTGTTTCTGAAATTTGGTGAATGTCATCGAGCGTGCAACTGTGGCGAAACAAATGGAGTGCATCTTAGTGTGGCGTTGTTAAAAGGGTAGTTTATCACAAGTGCCTTTTCTTCTCCGTCCCCCAGAACAGAATGATTTTGTAATGCTACGTGACAGAATTTTTTGGAGTGCTGGAGGTCGGATGACTCTCCGTCAGTCCTTTTTATATCAACTTGGACTTCTATCAGCAGTGCTGCTTATACGCTGCTTTCTCCCGTCATTTTCTCCATGGTCCACATGCTTTCTGAATGCAGACTCTTCTCTCAGTTGCGTATTTCTCCCCTTTCAGTCTCTTCCTTTGAGAAATAAGTTTATCAAATCTTTCCTTCAGGATTACATGTGATGTGTTGTGGAAGAGAGCACTGTYTTTCTGAAAAGAAATCATGCTCCAAAAATCTGTTGGAGCTCTTTGCCCACATGTTGAGTGGTCCCATCAAGGGAGGTTGGGTTGACGTAGTTTACTTGAATTTACGAATAACACTTGATAAAACTCCTTGAATTTTATGATTCTTGGTGAGAAAACAAACACGTAACTGCCTTACCTTTTTTCCCTAGAGCAAGCAGCAGAGCAGGGGAGCAAAGACGAGGTGCTTGTGGTTTTGCAGAGCAGTGGTGGTCACCAGCGGAGTCTTGCACGCCTGTGCAGTCCGTCACCTGTAGAGCCGCCCTGGTGAAGGCGAGGCCGGGAGTGAGCTGCCCAAGGTGACAGATGAAGCTACATCACTAATAGTAAACGCTCAGCACAACTGCAAAGGTTTGCAGGTGGTTTTTTTTTTTTGTGGCACTGAGTAGGAAAGTGGTAAAAGAGCAGCTAAAATTGCAGGGAGTTGAGTCTAAAAAACGCAGATGAAAGGGGACCATCCTCAAAAAAATAAAGCAGTTGAACTAGAAAAGCCCCAGAGAGAAGTGACAGTGACTGAAGTTATGAAAGCCTTTCTGAGCAAGGAACATATGAAGTCCTTGCACTGGCATAGAGGGTGGTCACACTGGAGTTCCTCCTTTGATTGTGTGCTGCAATGACCCTGAAACCATCTCCCCTTTTAGGGATGTTGGCTAGAAGACAACTAGATGTTGGAAGGGTGAAGGGTGGAAGGGTGATTTGTGAAATCCTGATTAACGTGACATTTTCAGTGATATCCATTTATAGGCAGTAAAGTGTTCAGTATCTTGGAGGAGAGGAGGCAAACAACATACCTGTATTGGCAGAAATGTGACCCAAATACTGGGCTCTCATTTTTGTTGTTCTTTCCCATCCATTATGGGGCAAACACTTTCCTTTGGCARTTCTTTGAGGACTTGCAAACGATCAAAAAAGCTGAATGAGCGTAAAAGGTGTCTTAATCCAAGAGAACTTTTGTTTGCTTGGTTCCTAGAGAACTTGTTTGTTGGTTTTCAACATATTTCATTTATTATTTACTCTGTTGACTGAGGTTTTGATTTCGGGCTGTGTTAAACATTCAGCCACCACAGCCTGGAATGCAGAGAGTATTAGACTCCAAATGACAGTCCTGTTCCATGTCAGAACTACTTAATGAGAGGAAGGGTGCATTAGAGCCTGCATGTTTTTTCCTTTTTTTTTTTCCTGTCTTTCATTTTCTGCATTTTCTTTCCTGATCAGGCAGTGTTTGATGCAGAGTTCTAGTTGTTGACTGCGGGATGATTTTGGCAGGTTTTGAACAATTTTCTGTGTCTCTTTCCACATCCATGTATTTTTTCTCAAAATACTTTTTTTTTAACTTACCTTATTTTTAAGGAATGATTTGGTAAGTGATGTGCATAGAGGGTGGAAGTACAGCCAGAAGCCTCTTGCTCCTTTATAGCTTTTCAGATTTGAGAGCAAGCTAGGAAAGAGATATTGTGATCTCTTGTGTGTTTTTTTAGGGAATGTCTTGGCACTACGAAAGCAGGAAGGGAGGTGCAGAGACATCGGCCATCTGCCCTGAACTAGAATCCCTGGAGCTGCAGACTTCTGAAGGGGAAAACTGTCTGGAGTTGCTGCTCTTCAGGGCTGTGCTGGGGCTTGAAGAGCTGTAGCCGAGTTCGGTGTCTCACTTACGGTCCCTGCTTCTGGTTCATGAGGATGCTGCTGCCTCCCCAAACGYTTGCCAGAGGTGGGAATTTCAGAAGAAAAGCAGGGGAGATGCCCTGGTGATGGACCGAATCCATTTGGGACCAGGCTCTCTTGTTTTCCGCTTTTCTTCCATTTTCCTCCAAAAATTTCCTGTTTTCCTCCAGGTGGGAGGAGGGAGACTAGAGGAGAGGCAGTGAATATTGCCAGGACTGGCAGCACAAATCCCCTGGGATGCCTGATCAAGCGGGGATGGAAGGGATTGAAAAAGCCAGCAGGATTTCACTCCATCAGGTGTAGTCCTCTGGGTCACTCGGATTTGATGCTGCTGCCACCTGATCGCAGCACAATGTGCACGACCTTGTCAGGTCTCAAGAAAGGAGCTTTTCTTACCCTATAGAATCTTCTATTTATATTTWWWAAAAAAAGAAAAAGTAAAGAAAATGAATGGGTTTTGGTGCACTTTGATTTAGCACTTCATTATTTGAAGTAGAGAAGCTGTTCCAGAGGTTAATGCTGAAAAATAGTCTTCCATCTTTCCGGTGGTGCTGTTGTTGTTGTTGTTGTGTTGAATTTTGTAGCTGCATTTCCAATATCCTTCCATTTCTGTTAGGAACCGGGAGGCGGGGAGCATCACCGTGAAGGCCAGCAAAGCAGGTAGCTCCCTAGGAGCCAGAGCTTAATGGATTCAGGAGCACATTGGACTTGCATGAAAAGAAAGGCATGTCCAGGGGACGTGTGTGCACGACTGAAACGTCTCACAGGGGCTCGATTTTGACCTCCCTCGTGCCAGCAGTGGGTGGCACTGATGGGTTTTGGGCCGAGCCACCAGGTCTGTGTCCTTCCCCACCGCGGGTGCCAGGCTGGGACGCGTCTCCGCTCTGCTCGGGGCAGCGCTGCAGCTGAGCTCCCGCTGGAGAAGCCTCTCAAGGTTTGTCAAGAGCTGCTTCCCTCCCCCTCGCCTCTCTTTTTTCTTTATTTCCCCCTTTAAGCAAACTGTTCCCATTTCATCTTTGCTATTTCTGCTATTTATTCTAGCTATGAGGGCTTTCTGAGGATATGCTGAAGATATTAGCGGCGTGAGTAGTTAATTATCCAAGCTATCTGGGGTGCAGGAAGCGGCGGGGCAGTGGGGAATAGGCTGCTGCCGCCGCTCATTGGGCAAGAGCAAGGAGCTGCTTTGAATTTCAAAGCATTTGAGCACATCTCCTTACATAACCTCGTCCCCCCTTGCCTTTTCCCTTTCCCCCGGCCTTCCCGCTGCGTTGCCTGCTCCGCAGCCCTCCATCTGGAGCGCGGAGCAGCTGTCAGCGGAGCCTTTCATGCAARAGGAGATTGAGGAACTAGCAAGGCCACAGGAGCAGCTTTGGGAGCCGCATGGTCGGCTGGGCCCAGATGTCTGGCACGGGGGTGGAAACCTGGGGACAGGATCAGAAACATCCATCCCCGGGCACGGTGGAGGCTGTGGGCAGAGAGGGGAAGAGCTGGTGGGGTCGGGGTGTAGTTGTTGAGTTAAATTTACTGTTGGTGGAACTGCAGATGGGGGTCATTCGAAAGCACGGCTCYCTTTAAGCAAAGGGAATAAAATTCTGCAGTTTGCATTCACATTTACTTATATATTTTGTTGCATTGGTTTGTGTGTCGCTTCTTTATCGTTATTCCCAGCAGGAGATCGGAATCTGCATTTTCTGGAGCCTGTGACATCTAGGCTGTTGCTGGAAGGCAAGTGCTCTCCTGCCTTGGYCGAGGACAAGGTGCCCTCTCCATGCATCGCTTCCCTTACCAGCAAACCTGACATTTGTCCAGGTCAAGCAGAGATGTCTTTTTCATTAGACCTTGAGCCTGTTTGTAAAAATACATAGAAAGTTACTGTAGATAATAAGAAAGGGGGTATTTTTGAAAGAATCTTGCTCGCTTCTGACAAGCTGGTCAAGCTTGGCTAGTCAGTGCTAAGCTTGCGGCATGCCAGGGGATGGAAAAGTTACGGATTTGTTCTTTGTTTGAGGATGCAACTTGCTGTGCAGGTGATTAAAAGAATGCTGAAGAGTGAGAGAGAGGAGTCCATGCACCAGTTGCTAAATCAGCAAACTGCTTTCAAAAACACACCAAAATGTAACTGAA